TCTTTCGAAGATGGTGCATTGCGAGGCTGCTCACATGGAGAGCAAGGGCATCTTCCCCTTCTTGCCGCACATCTGCGTTCCGCCCTCGGGGAGATGCCTCAGCCCCCCTCCCCACCCCTCCCCCCCGCAAAAAAAAACACAACAAGAAACAATAATAACAATAATAGTAATAATAGTAATAATAATAATAGTAGTAATAATCAAGAGCTCTGCAGACACTGCTCTGAGGCAGATGGGAACATGGCCGCAGTTTCGCCAACATTGATGCTGCAGGTGCGGACCAAAGGTGTGACGAAGTGTGGCTGCTCACTCTGGACGCACGCGCTGCTTCGGCTGCGTTGTGCTGGGAACCCTGCGCTTTGTCCAGGAGCCTTCCATGCAGCGTGCGGCGTCACGAATGCCACCAATGCAGCTCATGCACGGCAAGGCGGCGCACGCTGTCAGACTCTGCCCTGGGGACGAAACGAACCCTAAAATTGGGGTCATATACCAATAGCTACTATAGCTCCTAACAAGGTTTATGAACCCTTTACCCCTTTTAGGGTTCATGTCGTCCCCAAGATGTAATGTTCTCACTGTCCTTGTCTTGCTTGGTGAGTTGCTGCACTGCTCTTTGCCACAGGCAGATACCAGTGTGCCATTCGCATCTTGGCCTAAGATTTCACTGCTTCCGTCCTTCGGTGACCAGTCGACAGGGCTCGTGGACAGTCGGGCAGTGGCCCAAAGTCTAACCCTAAACCCTCAACCCTAAACCCTTTGTCCAAGGGCAGGAAGCAGTTGACAAGGGGACACTTGCTCCCATCGCGGAGCATCCCGTCACTCAATGAGCTTTGCTTCTAAACGCTGTTGCGGACTTCACGAAGCCGAGGACATGTCTACGGCTTTTGCTGATGCGCTTCACGAGGCACATGCTCAGTTTTGAGACCAAGAGAGACAGCGACACAGGCAAACCCCAGCATGGGTTCTTTTGTTTTGACTTTTATCCATACATGGCCCCGTCTTTAACGCGCCATTTTTGCCGGGTGCCTATTACCTCGGCTGATTGTGTTGTGTCTCTTGTTTCACGTCTCTTGTGTCTTGCCTGCAGTTTCTCGGAAAGGGAACGTAGTGAGTCAGAGTCGTTCATGAAGTTTTTGGGAGACCACACACGCTCGCTTGGTCTCGTGCATGTGCAGGCAGGCGTGGCGCACGTCGAGGCCGGATGTCGCACTAATGTCAGTGTATTCCACATTCTGTGCAATTTCAGAGATCGAAATCCATGCCGCCGCTGCTAGTAAGCTAGTACTATTGAGGGTGCGTTAACTCCTACTTCTAGTCGTAGTCGTGGCAGTGGTGGTGGTGGTGGCGGTGGCGGTGGTGGTGGTGGTGGTCGTTGTCGTAGTCGTTGTCGTAGTCGTGGAGTACAACAGCCGTCCGTTTTTTTTCCACGGCCACCGGTGATTCCGGCGGCGAATGGTGCAGGTGAGGCTCTTCAACGGGGTCTCGCATTCACATCCGGTTGTTGAAGGCCCGGCGTGATGCAAGCTGGCCCTGCAAACACCTTGGGGACGAATTATGAACCCTCAAATTGAAGGTCATAATATGAGTAGGAATTGTAGCAGTATAGGGTATATGATACCCCATACTACTATAGATTCCTATTAAGGTATATGAGCCCTAAACCCTTTTAGGGTTCATCTAGTCCCTAAGGCAGAGCCGCTGCAAATGCATGCGCAAGGGTGGCTTCCTGTTTCCTTCAGTAGTGCTTCATGTTTTTTTTTCCCTGTTGTCCCAGGCCCCATGGGTGGAGAGGACTACCAGGCCACGCACCAAATTCCCCTTGGGGATTATTTTCTATTTTTGTTTGTTTAAAACCCAAGAGGATACTCAAAATATTGTTTTGATTAAGGTTCTAAGGGGAGTATGGTGCACTGTCCCACTTGTGAAGAGTTCGCGGAGTGGTTGCAGGATGACTCGCACAGAAAAAGCTGAAGTCAGCTAGGGTTTCGGGGTTTCGGGGTTTAGGGTTTCAGGGTTTCAGGGTTTCAGGGTTTCAGGGTTTCAGAGTAGCTCTTCTCGGCTTGCTTGGCTTCAGGCCCGGCTGCTCCTGCGACGCCTGCGCCTCCCCGCCCCTAAAACCCGGGCGCGGCGCTGGCTGCCACGCGCAGCCGCTCTGAATCTCTCGGAATAAGCTTGTGGACTCCCACGACTATTGGTTTGGGGTTTAGGGTTCGGGGTTCAGGGTTTAGGGCTAGTCATTGTACCCTATACTACTGTACGACAACCCCTACTACGGTATGTGCGCCATAAACCCTGTTAAGGGTTCGCCTGGTCCCCAAGGGAAAAAGCTAAGGCGAAGCACAAATAAGCCAATGAGGCAGGGATCCGCTTCTTAAGGCCTTTTCGTTTGGCAGTGCTATCAATTTGTAGTCAACCCTAAACCCACAACCCTAAACCCTGTAGAGCTCGGTGGAGTAGCCAAAGTCCTGTTCCACACCCGGTGATGCCTCACACAAGGTCCTGGCCTTTGCCTCCAAGCTGATGCCATTCTGACGGCGCTTTTTGCCGAGCTGTCAATGCAACATTTCAGCTCATGGCTGTCGGATTGGATTGCAGCCAGGTTACAGGTTCCAGGTCGACTTGGAAAAAATTGGGATCTCTGTTTGTTTGCGTCGGCTACTGTGCTGGCAAACGCAGGCACGAGCCTTGGTTTTCCAACGGTGATGGACCGCCCCTTCTGAAGCTGCTACCCCGGCTACTCATCTCAGACAACTTTCAGCGAGGCTCCACGAATGCTACTCACACTTCGGGATGACATGGGCAGCTCGGAAACGCGGCCCTTCATGCAGGCTTCATACGCAAGCGGGGCTCGTGCAGCCGACATAAAGTCTTTTTTCAAAGGGCCACTTTGTGGTGACGGGAGGAACGGTGGGCCGGCGCCAAGCTAAACCTCGCCCTACTACCGAGACTCATGAGTCCCGCAGGCATCAGTTGACGATCGTGAGTCGTGTTGCCACATCTGCTTAAACCTTAAACCTGAAGAGCTTGAGAATCTCTCCGCACTTATCTGCGGCCCAACAATAGAAAGAAGTAGCAGAGTGACATGAGAGTCTAATAAAAACACAGTGCTGCAGTACTGCAATGTTTAGTTCATATCATTAAACACAGAAGAATCATGAAGTTCACTTGATTCATATAGTGCTACAATATCAGTACTATTGTCGTATAGCAATGTAGCTAAAGAAGGTGTTTTTATATGACAGTAGAACAATATCGTACTGCAATGCTATGATACTGTTTGGATAGCAGTACCATAAGAACATCATATGATTACATCGTGTCATATGTCCATAGAAAATAGTAGTAGTATACTATTACAGCATTGCAGTACTACAATCATTACACAAAACTATAACAAATGAATACAAGAAGTTTGTTGCACAAAAACTAGCCGTATACTAATGTAACACCTCGGGGCAGTCTGGGGGGATCCTGGGTCCAAGTCTTGTGCCTTGCCACCGCCTTCGGCCGCTGGTCTGCTAGTTTGTGCATGCAACGACTCTTCCCACGCGGATCCATGCGGCATTTCTCGGCTAAGTCGTGCTTTTGCAGTTTGATCTTAAGTGCATCATGGTTTTGAGAAACCCCGCGCTCACCACGCAGCTTTACTGCGGGCAGACGGTGGGCAGTAGATGGCGCCGGCATCGCCACATAAGATCATACATGATTTCTAGTAATCTACCCCTCAGCCACTCTTTTGCGCCTTTGTCAAGTGCCCGCCGCATGCTGCGAACTTTTAAGACTTGGCGCAGCCTACTGAAGAGCAGCCCTCCAATAGAGCTGAATGGGTTCTCAACGTCACCCCTAAGACCACTGCCTTTCGGGGGTTGGGGGGGTCTCATGGCGAGTTCACCCCGAGCCTGCTTTAGAAAAGCTAGCGAAGTTCGGGGTGTTCGGAGTAGGCTGCGCCGATCGATTGAACTGTGCAGCCCCAGAAGAGAGGTTCGAAGGAATACCATGGGCCCTTCAAAGTGGGGCAGTTGGAAACGCTCCTTTAGAGCGGCGAGACTTGCGCACAATGCTTGGTAGGCTCAACTGTCTGAGATGCGTTTTCTCTCCTGAGTTGAATAAGACGCACCTGCATGGGCTATTCTACCCTATAACCCCTCAAGAAGCCAACCCTAAGCCCTAAACCCTAAGCCCTAAGCCCTAAACCCTAAACCCTAAACCCTAAGCCCTGAACCCTAAACCCTAAACCCTAAACCCTAAACCCTAAACCCTAACCCCCCTTATGGGGCTGCTTAGGGGATTACAAGGCCCAATAGCCCATGCTGGCCAAGGATGGTCCTCGAGGAAACGAATCTGCATCTCCTAATTAGCTCGCTTCGTCGGCGATGGCCGTGAGGAGCGCAAGCTTACAGTTTAGGGTTTAGGGTTTAGGGTTTGGGGTTTAGGGTTTAGGGTTTGGTGTTTAGGGTTTAGGGTTCTCATTCCCTAGCAGTCATCCTCAACTGAATAAACTCTGTCAGCTGTCAAGAAGCCGTGGACTCTGAGTTATTGAGCGGACGCACGGAGTGCTGCCCCTCAACCCATCAAACGAGATGGGTCCACGTGAGCCACGGACTACTATTTGCTTAAGAACCCCCCAAACACATAAGGATATTCTTCCTTATTAAGGGTAATATAGGGATTCTTATTTTTCTTTTGGGGTTCTTAAGCAAATAGTAGCTGGAGGCAGAGGTGTGGGTCTTGATCAGGGTAGTGAAAAACATCAGCGCGAGTCAACGTTGCCAAGATCAGTACCTCCTTCCTTGGGGACCAATTATGAACCCTAAAAGGGTTCATGCTTCATATACCAGAACAGGCATTATAATAGTATATGGTACATGACCCCCAATTCTGGGGTTCATATACCTGAATAGGCATGATAATAGTATATGGTACATGACCCCCAATTCTAGGGTTCATTTGGTCCCCAAAGTTCTGGCAATGAACCCGGCCCTGGCCAAGCGCGTGCCGAGGAATCGTCACATCAGCCTCGTGCGGGGTCCTCCAGGTGGGAGAACCTTGGGGACTAAATGAAGCCTACAAGGGTGGATGCTTCATATACCTTATAGTAGGAATCCTAGAAGTGTCGGGTATGTGACCACAATTTTTGGGTTCATCTGGTCCCCAAGGAAGAGACATTCTCAGACGCATGGCACCTGATCCCTGTTCTCTGCTACACATGATCCTCATGTGCTTGTTCAGACAGATGTGATGTTGGGCATCTTCCGGCGTAGCGCGAGGGACATCTTAAGTGGTGATCCGGCCAGGCACGGGGAAAACGCACGTCGCGGCCGCAATGGCTCTGTCCGTGTCGTCCACTTTCACACAGGACGGCTGCAAGCTCCCTACATTAGACGTTAAGCCGACCCTAAACCCTAAACCCTAAACCCTAAGCCCTAAACCCTAAACCCTAAACCCTAAACCCTAAACCCTAAACCCTAAACCCTAAACCCTAAACCCTAAACCCTAAACCCTAAACCCTAAACCCTACGCGCAGCTTTCGCGTAAAGGCTTGAAGTCCTGTTTTGCACGTCCTCACTACAAGGATCAGCGAGTGCTGGCGGTGACACAGAGCCATGCAGCCGCCACTTGGCAGCCCAGTGGTACCCTTTACCCTTTTTCTGCTCTGGGTTTAGGGTTTAGGGTTTAGGGTTTAGGGTTTAGGGTTTAGGGTTTAGGGTTTAGGGTTTAGGGCTTAGTGTTTGGGGTTTAGGGTTCCCTTATGAAAAGTAACCAACCAAAAATAGGGTGCCCTTGTTAAGGATATGCTTACTGGGCTACCAAGGCCATCAACCTTCACCGAAGGCTGGAGGTCCGCAGGGGCTCATGGCTTCTAATGAATGGGGTGAAACATGGGTTCTCTTCCACTGGCAAAGGTGGAAGATAAGATGAAACCCTAAGCCCTAAGCCCTAAACCCTAAACCCTAAACCCTAAACCCTTCGAAGCAGCAGAGTTGGCTTCTTGCTTCTGCCACGCAGCACTTTGACGTCCCGGCGGCGCGCGTCGGGTGGACTCTCTCTGCCCAGGAGGCAGCCGAGCAATGCCCAGCATGTGTGGGGGGTTTACGATAAGGGGATCCTACTATCTGGGGTCTATATCCTTGGGGACGAAATGAACCCTGAAATCGGGGTCATATACTGAACCCTAAGCCCTTTTCGGGTTCATGTAGTCCCCCAAGGATGCGGGGCCCCTGGATGTGCGCCAACCCCCACGTCGGTGTGATCTGTGCCGCATTCCACGGTAACTAGCTACTCTGGGCACCCTATCCTGCTTGACCCCGTGGCGAGCCTCTCCGGACCCCCAGGTGCAGACCCTCATCACTCACACTTTACCAGGGACTCCATCTACCTACAGTTGAATCGTGGCTAACCCCAAAGCAGAGGTATTTCCCATAAATCCCAGAAACCTGTTAGGTAGTGAGGGTTCCAGGTAGGCCTTGAGGTGGGCCGGCAGGCAGGAGGGCCCTTTCATGCCAGGTCGTCAGCCAGAAGATCTTTGAGGTCATGCGAGCCAGTCGTGGCGAGGAGGATGAGGAGGCACTGTGTGGCTTTCGACATTTCAGACGCAGGAGGAGCGCATGTCGATACATCTTTGTTTCGAAGATTTACGGATGATGGCGCGTTGTTAACAGCCCCTAAGCCGTATAAGCCGACCCTAAGCCCTAAACCCTAAACCCTAAACCCTAAACCCTAAACCCTAAACCCTAAACCCTAAACCCTAAACCCTGCTTTGCGCAGTCCAACTTGCTGATCCGGATGAGCTGCTCCGCAGCGGCCCTAGGCTTCTCAAGAGAAGCTTCCGAACCCACGCTTGGCGCGCGTAACGCGCGAATATGTGCGCTTCATACTTATAGTAGACTCCAGAAAATTGGAACATTGTTTAAGGACTATTCGAGCTGGGATTCCCTTTGGTATACCTCTTGGGGTATGGGGATAAGGATGTTCCAACCTTCTCGAGGTTACTGTAGACTCTGTAGTTTGCCTGGGGATGGTGTAAGCACGTTCCGAAACGTCATTGAGCAACTACTGGCAGCGCATGACCATCGCCCTACCAGGATGGGCTATGAGTTCTGAAATTTGCTTCATACTGAACCCTATAGAAGGCCTTTTAAGGGGTTGTAGGGTATCATCGCCCATCCTGGTAACTTGTCTGGCAAGCATACGACTGGCAGACATCCTGGCCTTCTTGCAAGCGCTGAGGGAAAGCCTGAGGAGAAGGATGGTGCTGGCCTTACTTTCGGGAGGAAATGAACCCTAGAATTGGGGTCATATACTCTGTACTACTGTAATTCCTATTAAGGTATACGAGCCCTAATTAAACCCTTTTAGGGTTCATTTAGTCCCCAAGGTACGTGCAACTGCGAGCAGCAATTGAAAGCAGCAAAGCAGCGCTCGGAATTTTCTCGTGATTGCAATGGTTATCACTCTTATTGTTACGATTGTTATTGTTATTATTGTGCTTGTATATTCTTGTTATTGTTACATTGCTATTCTTATTGTTCTTGAGCTTTTGAAAGGTCGTCATAAACAATCTGATCCGTGTCCAGCAAGCTGTGGGTAGACTGGTGCGCCGCCTCAAAGCCTGAGGCTTACGGTCCAAGGAGCAGCAGCGTGCCCACTTCGTCCCTTTCCAAGATTCGGGCTTGCAGGGGTAGGTCGGAGCGTAGATTTTTTTTGCTCTTAATCCACTATACCCCGCATCAAGCCATCAAAATCAGAATTCGGTTTAAATAGGGCCCCGAGCCTACCCCAGCTTAGGGTTCGTGAGATTTAGGGCGAACACTCCGGTCCTGTTTGCCACATCAGTGATCAAGGCAACAGTGATTCTTGCGAGGCCTGTGGCTTTGGGGCTTCGGGTTTAGGGATTAGGATCTGATCCGAGAGCCTCGAAGCCCCAAACCCTAAGCGGAGCCTAAACCCCAAACCCTAAACCCTAAAACCCTAAACCCTAAACCCTAAAACCTAAAACCCTAAATCCTAAACCCTAAACCCCTGTTGCCACAAGAGGTGGTGATGCGACGCATGGCGAGGCTGAGTCAGGTGATTGCAGGGGCCTTTGAAACATGGCAGAGTTGGGGGTTTCTTGGTGCCCTAAGCCCAATAACCTTGCCCTAAACCCTAAACACTAAACCCCAAACCCCAAACCCTAAACCCAACATTCAGGTACCCCCAAAAGGTTGCTGGCGTAAGGAGTCTCTTACTTGTGTTTTGGGCAGCCGGCTAAAGTTTCGGGGTTCAGACTTCGGGATCAGTTTCCAACGAGGGGGCCGGGGGGCGGGGGGGGGTGTGAGAGGGGTGAGAGGGGCGGTGGGGGAGAATGCTCTCCGGCGGCGTCCCTGCTTCCTCAGGAAACCTTCTGAGTTCCTTCTGAAAGCCTTCTGAGTTTCCTTTTGAAAGCCTTCCCAATCCATTTTCATCTGGGGCGTGACCGGCTGTCAGACAGATGCTGGCCCAGAGGTTATGACCTTCGCCTCCTCTGGGAACGCTGTTTTGCGGGGCGCCTGAGCCATGCTGTTATAAGGCTCTACCTGGGACATGACTCACCTACAGTTTAGTCGCAACTACTACCCCTGAATGAGTAGGTACAGGTAGAACTCATAAAGACTGTAGGTCTCTATCTACCTACAGTTTAGTAGTAGCTGCCCCTTTAATGCCCATAAGACTCTGGTAAAGAGGGTCCCAGGCATAGGTGGCTTTTTGCCCTGAAGCATCGTCCTCCTTCGCAAGCTCCGGACTGCCTGTGGTTGCCGCCCCTGGCTCTCACTGATGCCCCCGACGTCAGCGAAGTGTCGGGTTTAGGGTTTAGGGTTTAGGGTTTAAGGTTTAGGGTTTAGGGTTTAGGGTTTAGGGTTCAGGGTTTAGGGTTTAGGGTTTAGGGTTTAGGGGTGGCGATCATGCGGCAACATCGTGACTTAAGCAGATGGGCGCCATGTTGTGGGCTTAGGGTTTAGAGGGTTCAGGGACGGTTGTCCAAAATCTCCATGCTACTTGAACAATAGTAGAGGTAGTAGCAAGAAGAAGAATACCAGCAGTATTGGAGCAATTCAACTGGCCGGCATGAAATCGCTGTTGGGATCTTGCCTGGTACATCTCGATTGCCATGGAAGCTGGCTAGTCTTCAATGGGTGGAGGCTGCCTAAACCCACTGAAAAGACCTTACCGACGTTCACAACATTACATCAGTGCTCGACATGTGCTGTGAGCTGTAACTGTTTCCTCACTTCGCGGTCTCCTCGACAAGAGAAGGTGACATGCGCAAAGTAGCCACCCTGCCCTTCACCCTAAACCCTATGCCCTAAACCCTAAACCGCTAAACCCTAAACCCTAAACCCTATAAGCCCTAAGCTGTGCCTCAGAAACCTTGTCTTCTTGAACAGGCAAAGCAGGGAAAGGCTCCAAAGGCGCTGGCAAGGGAAAGGAGCCCGTCCTACCCGATGAAAGACAAGCCAGCTGCTCGTCCGCTATGTGAAGGGTTTAGGGTTTAGGGTTTAGGGTTTAGGGTTTAGGGTTTAGGGTTTAGGGTTTAGGGTTTAGGGTTTAGGGTTTAGGGTTTAGGCAGGGTTTCTATTTCTGTTCTTGGTGAGTGTATATAAGGTTCCTTTTTCATATTGGTGAGTGTCTATATTTGGTGTCCTTTTGGGGATGCAAGGAAGATAAACCGTGAAACATATGGAGGGCCCGGTGAATATGGGCATTTCCTAAAATGGGAGTACCCCCTTACTGCGCCCGCGTTCTGCGTAGTCGACACCCCCCCCTCCCCCCCCCCATCGTGTCCCCCTCGCACCACCCTAAGCCTAAAACCCTAAACCCTAAACTATGCGCAGGGGGGGAGGGGGGGAACCCCAGGGGGGGGACCACAGGGGGGTGGGGCCTCTACCATGGAGGTTGGGGTCGCCTAAATCGAATAGAATCCCCTCAAGGAAGTCCCCAGAAAGGGTGCTCCTATTTTCGGAAGCCACCGTATGACGGCGCAAGTGCAACACCTCGAAAAGGTAGACGACGAAAAGGTTCGGATCGAACACCCTCCACTTTGCTCCAGGCAAGCACTATCCTGCCAGCGAGGCAGCTCCAACTGAAGAGGAGCGAGTGTGTTGTTTTGGGCTACACCGCTACACGTGTGGAAGGTGAAAGAAGAAGTCAGACAGTAATATCTACGTGAGGGATGAGCAAATAGGTTGGGACCACCATTAGCATTGCCTTGCTTCCAGGATGACTCATGGGGGAGCTTCATAAAAGGAAGGCCTGTGTAAAGCTTCCTTCTTACCCGACCCTAAACCCTAAACCCTAAACCCTAAACCCTAAACCCCAAACCCGAAACCCGAAACCCACTCGCGGGCGGTGCAGGACATCGATCTAGCTGCAGCCCTGGGTGTGGACCAGTGCCTTGGCTCCTACGTACGCTGACGCTTAGGACTTTGGGGGAGAGTGCCTTGGGGACGAAATGAACCCTAAAAGGGTTTATGGTTCATATACCTTAATAGGAATTACAGTAGCCAGGGTATATGACCCCAATTTTAGGGTTCATTTCGTCCCCAAGGCTTGGGGAGTGGTCTCTCCTTGGGACCAGATGAACCCGAAAATTGGGGTTCATATACCCTGGCTACTGCAATTCCGATGAAGGCATGTGAACCCCAAACCCTAAACCCTAAACCCTAAACCCTAAACCCTAAACCCAAAGCCCTTTTAGGGTTTGTAACTGGTCCCCAAGGTGGGGAGTGGCCCTCTGTTCCTGACCTGCTTGAGGTTCGAGGAGCCAGACGTGGCTTGCCCGTGGTGGCTTGGGAGCATGAGTGGAATGTAGGGGGTTTAGGGTTTAGGGTTTAGGGTTTAGGGTTTAGGGTTTAGGGTTTAGGGTTTTGGGTCTATGGGTTTATGGGTTTGTGGGTTTAATGTTTAGGGAACCCTGAAATTAGGGTCATATACCCTGACTGCTATAATTCCTATTAAGGTGTATGAGCCATAAACCCCTTAGGGTTCATTTCGTCCCTAAGGGAATGGTGGGGGGGTTTCCGAAATTCGGGGGTGCCTTATTCTTGTTCTAAGGGAATCCTACTACTTGAGGTCTATCTTAGGGGTCCCTTCTTTTCGTAAACCCCCCCATGTCAGAGGAGTTCGATGATGTGTGTAAAAGTGGCCGGCAGTTTTTTTTGCAATTCCCCCGGCACCTGTTGACTCAAATTGAGGCTGGGTGTTAGTAGAGAATGCGGGGATGAGGTACCCTATGTAATCCCTTACAGGGTACATAAGGGGGCCCTCATTCCCTCATTCCCTATTCAGAACCTAGACCCAAAACCCTAAAGCCTAAAACCTAAGCCCTAAACCCTGAACCCTGAACCCTGAACCCTAAACCCTAAACCCAACGCAGCCCCAACGGTGAGGTGCAACGTGGAATACTCCGACGACTCGAACTTCTGCGGCTCCTGTGGCAAGCCCCGGAAGGCGCGGTTTAGGGTTTAGGGTTTCTGGTTTCGGGTTTAGGGTTTAGGGTTTAGGGTTGCGGGTGCAGGGCCCCTCCTGGATGCAATGGGGGGTCCCTTCAAGGGGGGATTCTCTTCCATTTGGGGGTATAAAGGGGGTACCCCCCCAGTTTTTGGGACGTACCCCATGGTCAATCCCTACACCGCAGCACGGGTCCGCAAAAGGTACTTTATCCACTATAGCAGACACCAAAGTTGCAAGCACTGCCAGTGTCTGCGGCAAGGCGCTCAACTGCTTCAACTGCGAAAGCCACTACGTCAAAGGCAGGGAGCGACTTTCTGGCGGCTGGATTCCTTGGTAGGCCAGTGGTCCCTTTACCCTTTTTTTGGGTTCTGGATTCCCTGAGAAAAGAATAACCAACAAAAAAAGGTTCCCCTTATTATAAGATGGTTACTGGCCTACCAAGATTCAGGGAGATTACCCAGGGTGCTCGTATCTAGTTGATGCTCAATCTTTGGGGACAAAATGAACCCTCAACAATTGCACATGTGTGTGTGTGTGTGGTCCGTTTTTACCTTCCGGGGATTATCGTCGTATAGGGGGAAAAGATCCCAGTTTTAGCATACTGCTCCGCACGGCACAACCTTCATTTCGCCCCCCAAAAGGGTGGTGGATATCTTGACAGGCTATGTTTAGGGCTTCGGGCTCTGTCGGGGTTTTAATAGGCCGGAACCCTAAGACCCTACAACCCGGAAACCCCAAGCCCTAAGACCCTGAACCCTAAAAGCCCTAAAACCCTACAACCCTAAAAACCCTGAAACCCCTAAAGCCCTTAAAACCCTGAAGCGTAAAACCCTCAACCCCCTACCTCAAGAGTTGAGGCCGTCCGGGATCACGACGTGCCCCCCCCCCCCCACCAAACCCTAAACCCTAAACCCTAGACCCTAAACCCTAAACCCTAAACCCCAAACCCCTTATCGTAACAGGCACCGTCTTCTGTCGGACGTGTGGCTTCCCAAGGCCGAACCCACCTCCGGCCTCCTGGTAACAAGAGTGCCCTTATTACAAGCTGGTTACCTTTGTCATAGTGGGATAACATTTTACATTTTTAAGGGTACTTAAACTCAATAAGAATACAATTTTAAATTTTTATTACTATCCCAACTATGAACCAGTTACTGGGCTACCAAGAAATGAACCCCAAAGGGTTTGTGGTTCATACTGCCTGAATCGGGACCATAGCAGTATGGGGTATATGACCACAAAAGCTTAGGGTTCGTATAATTGGCCGGGTTATGTACCGGGTTTCTGGGGCTTATGGGGTTCGCAGTGTTTATAGGGTTTATCGGGATTGTAGGGCTTATGGAATTTCTAGGGTTTATGGAGTCTACAGAGTTCATAGTAGGGTGTAAAGGGTTTTAGGGTTGAGGGCGTCGCGGGACCAGATGCTGCAACCGTGTGTAAAAGCGGGGGTCACTCGCTAAACGATAATCCCTTTTCGGAGTACTTCTGGGGCTGCCGTACTTGAGGGGACCCCAAAAAGCTCCCCAAACCCTAAACCCTAAACCCTAAACCCTAAACTCTAAAACCTCCTCGAACACACCGCCGCACAGCCCAGGCCGGCTCGCCACAGCCCTCAAATGCGAGCTCCAAGGTCGGACCTCTTGGAATATTACCCTAAACCTTAGACCCTAAACCCTAAACTCTAAACCCTAAACACTGAACCCTAAACCCTAAACCCTAAACCTAGTATTCTAGTAGCTATACTCCTGCATCTACTCAGAAGCTACGACTTGTGGCCAAACCCCCCCCCCCTATTTTGGCTACTTGTATCAGCCTACTTATAGCTAGACCCCGCGATTTTTTTTTCCGGAAGGGGGGGGGGGGGTGGAGGGGGGTTTGAGGTCCAGCACGCTAAGTTAGGAGTCCACACAGGAATCCGGGGAGGTTCGATGAACCCCAAGATCTGGGATCGGGTATGCTCCGAGACTGCGCCAGAATCTTACGGAGGTTTTTTTGGACCATTAAACCGCTGAGCCCTAAAACCCTACACCATGCACCTTAAAGCTTGGGG